TGAGAGTCCGTGAAATCAGGCTAAAGAATGAAAATAAAGCTTTCCTTGTTTAAAAAATAAAGACTTACAATGTTCAATGAGAGATGCTTACTGGTTTGTGAGCTAAAAATTGAATCATTCCCTATACCCTCCAAGCAAACAAGACAGAGAGGTAATTTTTATTTGAGTATAGCTCATGTCAATTCTTTCTTCCTGACAGTAACTGACCAAAAGATTTGTTCCTTTCTCAGATTCTTCCTAAATTATGACGGGATGATTATGTGGCAAACATAAATGAGGACACATGATCTGTTTAATAAGGAGAACATGAGACATGTTCTGACTTCACTATGGTTTATATTGTATGATACAAATAGAATTTGAAAAGGTAAGGTTTTTTATTTCTAAGCAACAAAGCATTATGAGTGCTGACAAGTACGCTGTTCAGGACACATTTATATATTTTCCAACTTTTCCAGATAGTATTAACAAACAAACAATCAGATGACAGAAAAACTCTACAACCTCACAAAGAATGCACTCTACATCAGAAGCATGAAAGTTAATATGAATATTGTTTATGTTTATAGATTGAAAGATCACATAATTATTTTGTACAATTTATTTTAATATAAGCATTCTATATTTTAAGAGAAGGATAGGCATAATATTTGTGGAACACTCTGTCAGTTGTCTGAAGTTACAATGATTGTCTCCTTTGTCCCAGTTAAGAGAACTACGATTTTTCTTTAAGTGTGACACCACCACATCCACAGGGAAAACAGACTTTTCCTCTAGCCACCAAGGAGGGGCTGGTCAGAAGCATGGTGATGCAGTGTATTACTTCCTAGTCAGCTATTAATTAGGAGTGGGATGTGATAGTTTTTGTCCATCAGACATAAAGAAAAGTCTGCTGATAATTCTTGGGGAAAGTTTCCTTCTAGATAAAAAGAGAAGACTACTTTCATGTTTTTGCTTTGTGTAGGGCGATGTTAAAAGGAGATGTCTGACTTTGTCATGACCATATTGTTTATCAAGTTCCAAGATGGCAGATCAAGGGATTTACAATGAAGCTAACATCCTTGGATTGCTGATTTAGTTAACCCTGGGTCAGCACAACTCATCCCCTTTATTAAGACATTTAACTGGGCACTGTAGTACTTACAAGCCAAAGCTTCGTAACAGACATCATACTTTCTAATTGTAAGTTCTACACAGATCTCAGCAAAACTTGTATCCAACAAACTTATAGTGAATGCAAATCAAAGAGAAAGCAGAAAAAAGATCTATCAGACAATACAATTGGATATCCATTGCAACGTTGATATATCTTTTTGTAAGGCAGAATTCTTCCCTATAAATGTACCTGGTACTCATTAATACACCGAGGTAAATAACTGAGCAACCCAACTTAAAGTTACTAGAGTCTGTGCTAACACATCTGTACATGAAACTGATATTTTACCTAATGTTGTCACTAGCATGTAATAACTTTCTAAATACAAGCATTCGAGAGTATTAAAACAGTATGTCTGCATTTCATCTCCTTTGAGATTTTTCACATGGTTTACCACTATTTAATTTGTAAGTATGAATAGCAAACTTTATTGCTTTATTCAAAGACTGAGGACAATGGGGTGAGATCTAAAAGAAAATTGTCATGAAGAAGCCGCCTTCATTCTGTTCATAATTTTCTAAGTAAAATATTATGCAAAGAAAACAAGAAATCACAATATTACAGTTATTTCACCAACATGTACCATGGGAAAAAATTATGTTCATCTTCTTTTATGTCTGTTTACCTTTACTTTTTCTTATTTCTGAATATTGAGATGAATTTTATGTACTCATTTATTATACATTAATGTCAAGGCCTACTGGTTTTCAACCTCAAATCCATTTCTAATTTTCATTTCTCACAAATTCCAATTTTATTCAGGGGAGCAATTCGCCACACTAAAATATATATCTCCCTACCTCTGGGTAGCTAAAGGGGTCCATCTGATAGGGTTCTGGAGGTAACTGGAGAATGGAATTCTATGGGGAGAATGTCTACATCTCAAAGAAAGGCACAATTCTCAAAGAGTAGACTTGTTTAGTTGCTTATTTCCTTCTCAATTTTTAAATTCTCAGAAAAGGTGGTTTACTATGTATTAAGTAAAAAACAGATTCTCACTACCCCTGAAATATAAAGAAAGAGAGGGAGTAGACAGCAGGAAAAATCTTCCTATTTTAGTGCAACAGTTCTCAGCCTGGGATGATTTTACCTCTTGGAGACATTCACCAATGCCTGTGTACATGTTTGGTTGTCCTGAAGAGGTGAGTGGTGGGATGTGCTGCTGGCATCTTGTAGGTAGAGGCCAGGGTTACTGCTAAACATGCTACAATGCACAGGATCCTTCCCTCTCCACACACACACACGAAGACAAATCCACCCCAAAATGATAGCAGTGCCATAGTTGAGAAATACTGAGCTACAGTGCTTTTCGTTATCTTGTTGTCCCACTTCTTCTTTAGGATTCAAAGGCACACATGAGTTTGGAGGATTGGCAATGATCATGTGACCATGTGAATAAAGTACCAAGATGATAGAAGTCTGATTTCCTGATTAAAAGCTTAAGCAATTGTCTTCTCTTGATTACTTATTATATGAAACTAAATAAACTTATTTGCTTAATTCATGGATAGGTTATCTGTTACTTCATAGGCAAATATATTTGTAAATGATACACATACTAATTGATTTATGATCTATTTTATATTCATAAGTGGGAGTAAGTGTTCTGAATAAAAAAATAAATCAGGTACAGTTTCTAATCTCTGGCAATTCATTATCCAGTAGGGAAGACAACCACCAAGAACATAAAAGGTAGGCTACTTCTGGTATGAGTAACATGTGGTGAGAACCCAGAGTAAGGATAAAGGAAGGAAGCAGGCTAAGGAAAGACAAGCCTAAGGTACGAAAATGTTTTCCTGTCCTGTGGTTGGAGGGTGTGTGAGTTGCTAGATCCATGATGAAAAGCTAACATAAGCAAAACACCAAATCCTGAACTGGTGCTACTATTGGGTAAATAGTAAGAGATTTGTGAATGAACTAAAGAGTAAATTGGGGAAGTATGCCAGGTAGAGGGTGTTTTCATCTAAAATTGGGAGAAGAGTTGAAGGCCATGAGGATTGTGGACGCTACCAGGAAAACTACAAAGAATCATTGGCCATTATTAAATAGAGATCCACAAGATCAGACTCATAGCTTCGAAAAATAAATAAATAGGTGCAGTGTGTTGAACTTGGGTGTTCCATTGATAAATAATTACAATAAAATGGAGGAATCACATATTCTAACTTGTAATTTAATCAGATGGAAATAGGCTTCAGGCTTCACTTGAGACCTTCTTAAAACATGGCAAAAATATATTGTTGAACTGACAAAGTTTCTACATTTTAACTTTGACTATGTTTTGTTTATAAAAACTACAAATTCACATTTTCTGGGTAATTTGTGAACTATTTCCTCAATATAATTTTTTTTTAAACTTTTAGAGACAGACTATTGCTATGCTTTGCTAAAAATGTTAAGAATTGTTTTTCAAAACAGGAAAACTCAGAGAAATATGTTTCAATCATACCTTCCCCTGTAACACTATTTTCCCATAAGAAGTTGTCAATAACATCAAAATTTATGTGAAAATTTTTTTTAAAATCAAAGATCTTAGATTTTTGTTTGTATTCTCTAGTTTTGACTACCTATTTATCCAATTTTTTAAAAATGGTCTAAACAGCTAATTTAAGGAAAGGTGAAGGAAGATGTAGAAGTTGCCACTGGATAAGCAGTAAAGTAGTAAAAAGTGGAATTAAATATACCACATTCAGGTTTAAAAGAGACTTTAGAGAGCAATTCAGGGGGCCCATCTAGCCAAGCAAGAGGACCTGGGCCGCCAACAACTTACAAATGCAGCACAACATGGAGCTTTCTCACAGCCACCCTTCTGTGAGAGTATATTCCACCTCAGCTTCATAACAATCCACACATGCATATTTGAAACTCTAACTAGGCATACACTGAAAACTTCACAAAATAAAGCTCCATGGAGGGAATAAAGATTGACAGAATGGACTAGGGTGGGTGGAGAGAGACATGGGAAGGGGACTCTAAGGCAGACTTCCTTACCCCAGACTCCAGCAACTCTAATATAGTGTGTTGGAAGATTGACTCCCTTGATTTCTGCTTATGTTAAGAGGATTGGAAAGACTAACCACAGAATAGCAGGCTTACAGAAAACAGTTACTTCTTTTAATCAAACCATGTAATCAGAAGGCCTGAGTAATGATTAATTTCCACTTTCTCGGTGAATCATTCAACCACTAGGCAATTCAAGTAGACTTAGATTCATTCTCTGCCAAGGGCACAATAAACTTAAGGCTTTTGTACATTACATGTAATGTTTTAAACACATGCATGCCCCTTGCTTCTGAACTCATTTCAAAAAGCTGGTGTTCTGCTAGTGTACAATGGCTGATGATAATGTTAAGACATTTAAAAGGTTTTATATTCAAACGTAGATACCCGTGCCTTTTCTCAGTGGCATTTTTATATCTGAATCCACTTAATACTAGAGCACCATTAATTTTTGAGAAATGTATAAAGATGATAACTTCATATACAGCATGAGAACGCTAAGTAATAATAGTCTACTGTAGTTTTACTATAAAAAGAGGGCAATGAATACATGAGCTATATATAAAAATGCAGAGTGATAGATACAGGGTTAAGTATCTAAATTCACATTTGCCAAGTCGTGCATGTGTATCTTTGTGGCCCTGCAAAGAGAAAAAAGAAATAACACCTTTGTAGAGGCCAGCCCTTCACTGGAATAATCACAAGTGAATCCAACACTGGACACAGAATTTCCCTCATTTCTATCACATTAACAACCTCCCCCGGAATAAATTATCCTCAACTTAAAAAATCGCAACCTCAATAATTTTAAATTCACAGCAGGTGGTTTTCCATTTCTACTCACAAGGCATTGTCCTGAGGCAGACAGGAGTCAGTGGAGAGCAGTTTAAATGTTTGGACTACCTTCTCTTCCCGGGAGAGTTTATTGCCCAATACTGCATAATGTATTAGTTGCTCAACGCGGGGGATCTAAAAGTGACATCTTGACTGGAACCACGCGGATCTGAAAAGCACCTCGCAGGAGACGTTGTGGAGAAGAAGAGCAACTTTCTTATTTCTGTCAAACTACGAGGCGGAAGCCACCCGAGATGGAGCCGGAGGGCCTGGGGAGAGAGCAGGAGGCTGGCCGCGGCTGCTCCGCGCTCTCAAGGGCTCAGGCGAGGCTTCGCTTCTGGAGGCGGCATTGTTCCTCCATCTGCTCAGCCTCGCGTTTTGCCAGGAAGCCCTCCCCGCACGCTAGTAATCTGTTCTTTCTTTCTAGGATACCTCTCAGACGATCTCCCAGCTCGGGGTCTCCGGTCCCAGGGCACAGCTCTAGGGTGAAAAGCTGCAGTGACAGTGACGGGGCGCCGCTCTAAGGATTTGGAAACCACTGCACCCGTCCGCCGGGCCCGGCCAGCGCGCGCCTGGCACTCCACTCTTTCCCTCCGCTCTCCGGGTCTCCCTGGCTCCGACGGGCTCCGGCCTCGAGCCCCGCTCCGGCTCGCCCTTCCCGCCGGGTCTCCGGGCACCGGCTCGGCTCCGGCGGCGGGGTCCTGGGCCCCCAGACTCTGCGCCCCCCGCCGGCCTGCAGGCTGGGACGGGAATTGAGGGTGGGCAGCAGCCAGGGGAGCAGGGCAGGTGGGGAGCCGCGGGGCGTGTGGGGAGGGGAGGAGGCGGGAGAGGGAGCCCAAGGAAAAAAGATGCATCTGCTCCGAAAGCGCCAATGAAGAAAGGACAGCGGGGGTCGGAGTGGAGAGCAGCAGCGAGAACGCCTACCGGGAGGGGTGGCACAGCGGGCAGTTTACAAACTGCCGGGGCTGGAGGAGCCCAGCGGGGAAGGAGGGAGGCTGGGTGGAGAGAAGAAACCCCGAGAGGAAGATCGCACCTCTCTCCGAAGAGATGAGCTCAGAAAATGTGCCCCTGGATGGGGAGATAAACAAGGACTCACTCGTCGTAGAGGAAAAGGATGCATTTGAGCAGGAATTAAGTGCTGTAGGTTCTCCCACGGGAGACTTCGCTTCATCTCTCGAAACTCTGGCGAATTACCCTCCAAGTGAAATGAATTGCTTTATGCAGAAATGGAAGCCGAATTTTCTTCACTGTGGCCTCCTCCCGTGGTATTGATTTGGGTTTTTTTCCCCGGTTTTTCTTTCTTTTTTCTTTTTTCTTTTTTTCTTTTTTTTTAATGAAAAGAATCATTTGAGAGGTTCCATGTCCCTCAGTACTGAAGAAACCACCCAGCTCATTAAAGTTCATCATTTTTATTGCTTTTATTATTTTTCCAGAGGACACCGGTGAGGAGTTGGCACCAATACATGGTTAAAGCAGTTATCTACGTAACGGGTTGTTTTTTTTTTAAGGACAAAATAACATTTCTTGAGACTGCTAAAAAGGGGGATTGGAAAACTCAGTTACTCAAAGGGGAAAAAAAGAGAGACGCATTTAAACTCAAACAGACGATTCCACCTCCAGTACTGTCGACGCCACCACTACCATTCTCAGCCCAAAGGAACTGGACAAGGGTTAAGCGAACCGGAGAGACCGCGGGCAGGGGTGGGGGAGCTGGGGGAGGCCAGGGTCAGGCAAGGAGTAGGAAGGAAGTTTTCGGTAATCCCGGGAATTAAGATAAACGTCGGGACGGGTGGACGCAGGAAGCTCCCTTACCTTTCTCTGTAAGCCCCGTTTGCACCTGATCTGCAACCATAAATACTTCGTGGTGCTTAGTGTGCAGCCAAACGGCGGCCGAATGTTAAACAATTCTTCACGCTCCCTCCCCTTTTTGAAAAACAGCCTTAGAAGAATGTTAATACTGTGCTCCTTATCCATGGGCTCCAAAACATTCCTCCTGGTCGGGAAGGAGACGAAAGCCAGGTGCTTGGGCACGCGTATATGTACGTACTTATAAATTATCCGGTCGGCATATAAACATAGATACGTTTTCTGCATGTAAATCCGAAAGAAAAGCACCAAGGATGCCTCTCAAAGCGGGAGGGGATAGGGAGAAGCAAAACTTGGCAAATAAAATGTATCCAAAGATTTCGTACCAGGAACCACCTGCTTCGATATGCAGTATTCCCGAGAAGATTTAGTGGGAGACGAAAAACATCTAAAAGAAAAAAAAAAAATACCCCAAACACACACTTGAAACGGAAGACGCCTAAACAGCGTGGAAATGGAGAGGACGAGATCTCCCGGGGCTACAGATCCGTCAGCTAAGTGAGCAATCGCCTCCGAAAAATCACAGGCGGGAGGTAGCTGCCGAAGCGTCCCCTGCTCGGGTCCCCGCCGCCGCTGCTACCTGTAGACGCGCGCACACGCACACACGCGCTGCGCACACACACGCGCGCACACTCGCCAACCTCCCGGCCCTCTCCCTCCTCCCTCCCTCCGCGGCGGTGCCGGCTGCCGGAGTCTGCGTTGGGCTAGGTGTCCGCGTCCTCCAGACCCGGTCCTGCCGGCGCAGAGCCGGTCCCCTGCCCCGGCCTTCCCTCCCCGGCCGGGCTACTGCGCCGCAGCCCCCGCCTTCGCAGGGTCGCCGTGGCGCGGGTGGCGGGCCGGGCTCCGCGGGCCTGGGCCGGAGGCGGCCGGCGCCGAGTGGGTCCCGCCCTCCCCGCGCCTTCCTCCCGCGGCGGCTGCTCGTCCTCGGTCCGCAGCGCCCGCGGCGGCAGGAGGGGTGAAGGCCGCGGGCGTCACGCGTGACGTTCGCCGAACGCCCGGAGGAGCTGGTGGCGGAGGGACGGGGACGGGCACCGCCGCGGAGCCCCGAGGCCTGGCACGCGCGTTGTTTCTCAGTCCGGGCGGCTCTTGGGCCCCTTCCGCGCTTTTTCCTCTAGGCGACCCAGAGCCCGGAGTTGGGGGCGACAGCTGGGCCCGGAGTCTCTCGCTCCCTCCAGTTTCTGGTAGATCCTTGCTCTAAACTCCCCTGCTCGCTTTGGCTCCTGCCCCAGTGGTCTCTGAACTGAAGCCTTGGCCGGAGCCCCTTTGGGTCTCCTCCGCACTTCACTGGCCTCTCCCCTCCCACTGCACCCACAGCTGCTGCTGCTGGCGAGGTGATTAAAAACTCCTCACAGCTAATCATTGCTGGGCTTTGTGGTGGGTGTGACCCCTACACCACGTTGTTTACACCCACCCAAGTCCTGCTACCCTCTGTGGATTTTTAAAATGTGAGTTGGGGGTCCGGGCCCCGCCAACACGACCATTAAATTAATTGACTGAAACGTGTAATAATCACAACCCAAAAAAGAAAACTCCACCAGTAGGAAAACACTAGGAGGAATCATTGACACAGGTACTAGATATTGGATAAATGCATTTTTAATAAGGTTTCATATCTCTCAATCTCATATGTGCTTTACTTTCTAAAATTAAGGTGGAGGGCCAAGAACTTAGCTCAGTGGTTCCGCCGCCTGCCTTGCAAGCAAAAGGAGTCCGATCCCTGGTACCAAAAAAATAAAAAATAAAAAATAAAAAATAAAAATAAATAAAATTAAGGTAGAAATGCAATTGCCCCAAAGTATTGGTTACTCGCTAATAACAGTAAATGAGAATCCTAAGGTTCAACGGTATCAGATCCGAGTTTTTAAAAGATCCTTCCACTTAGAAGGAATTCAATACCACATTTTCCTGACATAATTTTGGAATTCAGTCTATCTTGCTAATTTTTGCTTAAAAAAAAAAAAGTGAGCTTTAAGTAATACGATGGCGAATCCAGTAGGGTTTCAGGGCTGAAACAAGATCTCATTATGTTACCCAGGTTTGCCTTTTACTCAGGGAGATCTTCCTGCCTCGGCCCTCCTGCCTGGTGGGTTTACAGGCATGCACAACCACAACAGGCTCAAATCCAGTAAATTTGGATGGTACCTCCAGGAAAGTAAAATTTTATTATAAATTACGTATGGACTAGTTGGTAACATTTAACCAAGTTTGTCAAATTCAATAACTTACAGCTTTTGAAACTTATCTGGAATTTCTTAAGAATGTGGAAAAACATGCTTTCTATTCTAATGTCAATAAATGTACTTAGATGAAACCTTTAATTTTCATGAAACTACACAATTAAGGTAGCTTGATGTAAGATATGACCATAATAACTACAAAATTAAACGTTTGATAAAGAAATAGGATAATTAGATAACACTGTCCATTGTAATTTACAGAGCATAATGTTTGTAGACTCTCTTGTATCTCACACCTGTGGGGAGCACGTTCCAAAATGTATGTGTTGAGTTTAATACTAGCACCCTGAAGGTAATGGCTACACATTTTTCATTTCCAATGCCTGGTATTTATAGCATGAAGTTAATTTAAATAGGTTGTGCTGTGTTTTTTCTTTTCATTATCCTTTTCATGGCTACATTTTTTTCAGCTGGGCATTATTACCTCATTTTTATGAATTAATCCGGCAAAAAGCCCAAGATGTTTAACAAAATAGAATTGTCACACAAACAACATTTATCAAAATCTGTACATGCTGTCAAGTGAGCCAAATTTCTTTTGCCCAGTTTTCTTCACTTTCCCCATCAAAACCCTTAAGGAAATAAACATCCCATTATCTCAAAAGCAATTAAACAGCAAAAATAATTTGCTTGTTTTTCTACTCTTCTTTTGTCTGTATCCAGTTAAAAGTTGGGATTCTGCAATGCGATTTTCTGATTCTGAATCCTAGATAGGCTCTTAATTTGTTATTGCCTACTACATGTTACTTAATCTCCTTAAACCTCAAATTCCATCTCTGCAAAATGGAGATAATAATATCTCTTGTAGCATTGTTGGGGGATTACACAAAGTAATGCATGCAATGCACTTGACAAAAAGGTTGAGTAATTCTTCACTCTTTCTACTTTTAGGATCTATGTGGTATGTTTTCTTCTAATAAACAGCAATATAGGTAGGGACATTTGGGGTTAGTGTTAAAAACTGATCAAAGTATTTGGTTCCAATACTTAATGTCTATAACCTTTAAGCCATTAGTGAATAGAGAGTGATTTCTTAGACCCTTTCTGGCTTCTCTTTTCTTTGTGATCAGTCTTAATATCAGTCTTTTAGTAATAAGTTACAGATTAGAGCTTCATATTAAATATGGATGATGAGATAGAAAACAATAAACCCACAAATAGGCAATGAAGTTAGCAACAGAACTTAAGGAATTGAATTCAATTCACATTGCAAATCACGTGGCTTCAAGGCTGGTATGTTAATTGCCCCTTTACTGTCTCTCACCACATCAAGCGCTTTTTCAATGTACACTGCAATTCCCTGTAAAGTCACAAACAGAAACTGAAATTTGCCCAAACACATCTGCTCATGTGTAGATTTTGAAGGAGACTTCAGTATAATGTACACAAAAATATTAGCTTTTACTGGAAATACTGGTTCAAAAGAGCCTTGGAATCAAAATCAATGTTTTGTGTGAGACTGGATGAAAAATTGTTATGGGATATATAATCCAATTTTGTTGATATTAAAATTTATTTCCTAGAAATGAAGACAGAAATATTGGACAAGAAATCTAGGCTTGAGTGTAAAGATTATATTCTATTTTTCAGCACCTCAGTATAGTCCTATGCACACTCTGTAAGCTTTCAGTTCAGAAAGTCATTAAGTGAGAAGATTCTTTCTCCCAGTAATTATACATGTTTAAAAAATTAAATAACATGGATCTCCTAAAGGAAAAGCAAGAATACTACTTATTCTTTGGAAAATCCCAAAGACTCACAGCAGGATATTAGCATTTATATTTTTATTTCCAAGGGGCCTAGGAAGAAAGCTATTAATAAAATGTTACTCTTAGATGAAATATTACTGTAACAGTCATCATACATTATATGTGTTTTACTTAAAATGGGTTAAATATAAATAATACACTGAGAAAGAGTTTATGGGGCAATGGCAGCACATGTTTCTACTCTGAAAGAAATAAAAGACAGGACCAAATGATCTGTAGTGTTATGCACTGACAGGTAGACCATCTGCACAGCTTTCTAGAAGTGTTTTACTATAACCTGGAGAAAGGTACAGGTATGATTTATGCTAACAGACTGACTTTTAAAGGCACTATCCCATAGTGTTTAGTACCCATTTGGCATAATCCATGGGGTCCCCAAATGTAGTCTATTGGAAAACCACTCTTCTGTCCCATACAATCTATACAACATGGTCAAACTCATCAATTTTTTTAATCTAGCTCTAACCAAGTCAAAGTGTTTTTGAAAATCCTTTTTGAACCTATATTTACTATAAGAAATACAAAATTATTATCCTAGGATTCAAACCCTATGTTCTCAATCCTACATGTCTTCATTTAGCTTTCACTTCTTCCTAATTTCTGTTTTATTTTTTTCCAAAGATCGTATTCTCTGGTCTCCAAGAATAATTCTAAACATTTTTTTTTTCTCTTGGACCATCCAAATCACCATTCCTACTTACCTACATCACCTACAAAACTTCTACCTCAAAAATCCCCTCAGCCAGAAACAATTTTCCCTTTCTCTGAGTGGCACTAATTTCCACCTCCCATAATGCAAATTTAGTCTCTTTGGTGTTATCATTATTTCAGAATCTTTTGTTTACCTTAAACTGTTTATAAAATACTAAATATTCTCTTGACTTGGGAACATTGTACTTAACTTTCCCTCTGCCCAGGCCTCTCTTTCCTCTCTTCCTGAGGGCTATAAGGGCTCCTTTTATTCATGTAGGTCTCTGCTGAGATGTCACCTTCAAAAAAAGTCTTTCCTGACTCCTGTACCTAAGATATCCACCTGCGCCATTCTCCTTAACTTCTTATATTTGCTGATTGTTTGCTTCTTTCCTCATCAGAAGAAGGCAAATGTTACAAAACCAGAGACTTAACTGTCTGTTTCATTTACTGATGTATACCAAGCACCTAGAACTATGCCTTTCTCATGATTTTCTCTAAATAAATGAATTGATGATGGATGCATGAATACAATAAATATCAATTTCAGAGACACTATACTACAGACTATCTTAACTTTAACCAACAATTGATCATAAAGGCATAAGAAGTTTCTCAGGTGTTCTTGAAAGATAATTTTGTAAAATTGCATACATCACTGAGAATGCATTAAAGCTCTAATTATAAGACTTGTACCACACTTTTAAAGATAATGTTTAGAATGAGCATATATTTGCTCCAAATGTGTTCATAAAGCAATAACTCCATACTTTCAAAGTCACTTTGTTTATTTAAGAACTAATAGGGGCCAGGGATTTAGCTCAGTTGTTCTGCCCCCTCCCTCACAAGCACAAGGTCCTGAGTTTGATCCCTGATACCAAAAACAAAACAAAACAAAAGTACTAATGATACTTTATTACAATGGTAAGATTTAG